TTGTCCGCAAAGCAGAATCGAGGCAGAGAATGAAAATGTCCGCATTAGAGAATCAAAAAAAAGTAGAAATAGTAAGAAAATTAGTACAGACAAATCGATTCTATCGACGATAATCAGTAATGATTCGATTAGAACAGGAACACGCACAACAACGAACAACTCGTCCAAAAAGGTTAACTTCAGTTAATAATGAAAATATTTTAGTACAAGCAAAAGAAGATTATTTAAATGGTCTACTAGATTTAGATGATTATCAAAAAAGACTACGTTCTCTTTGTTACCGATACATTCACATCTTGAATACATCTGACAAAGATGACGAAGATTATGAACCAAAAAGCATAGTTGAATGTTGAATCATCTCGTACTACTTGTATCTTTCTCTTTCTTCACATAATAAATTTTTTCTTGATTCTATAATGCGGACATTTTCATTCTCTGCCTCGATTCTGCTTTGCGGACAATTTTCAAAATGCGGTCATTTTTGTCTATACCCCCTGATTCTGCTTTGCGGACATTTTACCTTAATTGGTTAAAAAAAGTGTCCGCATTGTAGCTGTAGCCGAAATTTTTATCATTTTATCTACTAGTTGTGATCAAGTATTCTTGAAAACATCGAGGTCAGAAAACTTATCTTTCGTATAAAAGAGAAAAAAATAGTGTTTATATGTCACACGAGATTTTTGAAAAACTGCCACACGAGATTTTTTGAAAAAACTATCAGGTGGAATTTTTATGCATATAACTTTCTCACAACTAAGACTAAAGTACATACATTACATATTACTTGATTTCGTGTTTAAGTGATTGTCGAAACTCGTGCAAGCACCCTTTAATTTGTTTCTCACAATTCACAGAAAAAGTCCAATATGATTATGAATAAGAAACAACATTATTAGAGTTATGTGATCGAGCTTTATCGAACACATAACTCTCAACCATATTTCGAGTGATATAAACAAAGTTGTTTCTATACATAAACTGAAGTATTTTCAACGCGTTCAGCAAAACTCTCGCATTTTAGCAATTTTTCGACATAACAGCAACACAGTCGTATTGAAGCATTTTTCATGGACTTTGAATGATTCTCTTATATCACAGCCATACTTATAGTGGTAGTCGGGAAAATTTATCCTTTTTCTCTTCTCATATCGTACAGTTAAATACACGACTTATCAGCTTTCGAATCGAAATTTTTTTTCGTTTATTTGTTTTTGTCAAAACGGTACAATAATTTTGCAATTCATCCATATATATTCCAATCTTAAATAGGTTATGTTGTTTCTTTTTTTTTTTCTTAAAAAGAGGAATAATGAAAAGTACTGAGTTTAGTTTTTTTCTCGTATTGGGATAAAAAATTTATAAATAAGTTGAAAAGTTCTATTGGCCACTAGAACTTTTCAAATTATTTTTTCGATTAATTAGATATAATCTA